AGGTCAACTTGTGGATGCCTCCCACACATTGTCGAATATGTTGTTTATTGTTTCTTGTAAAATTCCCGAGTTAGAGTGTAATTAAGGGGCCTTGGGTGTGCATTTTGGGAGGTGGACTAGCATTTTGAGATTTTATAACCGAAAGAGGGCTCATTACAACTTTGGAATATCTAGGTGTGCTCTAATGAACTAGTAAAAGGCCAAAGGAAGTATCCTAGTGCAACCTTGTTTAGTTCTCCTCTCTACCCCCAACTCATGTGTACATTTGTATGATCGGTAATTCTTGAAAGTCGTTCACTTGTCTTGCTTGTGCCTCATATCCCGATGAGTTGACTTGGGCGAAAAATTGAACTTGTGCGATTTTTGGCGATGTGTTGTGGATTGCGTGAGTTGTGGGGCAAACTCATTGGAAACCCTCACGAGATAAAAACTCGTCCTCTAAGGCGACTTAGAGGTTTAAATTGCTTCTCACTTGTGCTAAAAGTGATGATGATTGTCACCATGCGGATTTGTTTATGTATGCTTCCCCCTTGTTGCCTCTCCTTGGATTGATAATTAGCAAATTGTTTTCCTCCTTTAGTTTGACATGTTTGTTTTGCTCGAGGACGAGCAAAAGCTTAGCTTGGGGGGATTTGATAACTTGCTATTTGATATGATTTTAGGGTGTTTTGAACCTAGTTTACTTAATAAAAATTGCGTTTTGGTTCATTTTTACTCTATTATTATGCAATTTTTGTGTATCCTATGCTTTACGGGTTGTTGGTGTTTTTGTTGAGATTCTAGGTTCAAAAGAACGACCAAATGGAGCCCATGGATACAAAGCCGAGGTTAGAAGCAAGAAGATGGTTGAAAGAAGCCAAGGAAAGGAGCAATATAGAAGAAAAGATGAAAAAAGGGGCTTAGAAGACCCTGCTCAGCCGTGCCAGACCTTGCACGTCCGTGCAGGAGGTTCCAGAAAGTTTCAGCAAGCTGCCAAGGCCTGCACGGCCGTGCTTAATCTGGCACGTCCGTGCAGAAGAGGCTGCACGGCCGTGCCAGACCTTGCACGTCCGTGCAGGAGTGATCCAGAAACTTAGAACATTCTGCCGAGGCCTCCACGGACGTGCCAAATTAAGCACGTCCGTGCAGATGTAGCTGCACGTCTGTGCCAATATCTGCACGTCCGTGCGGAGCTGCTCGATTCTTAGCAGTACGTTCTGCCTCAATTCTGTCCCCTCTGCACGTCCGTGCCGAATCTGGCACGACCGTGCTTATGCTTGCACGTCCGTGCCGAATCTGGCACGTCCGTGCAGACCTGCAGTCGAACTCCTTACTTGTTTTCTCCGTCCTTTTTATTTGGGGGTCATATAAATACCCTTTTAGAGCTCATTTGTTAAAAAAAGGCAGTTTTTTTTAGAGCTTTCCTCTTAGTTTGTAGTCTTAGAACATTAAATTCTCAAATCATTAGTTAGTTCTTAATTTTTAGCTTTGAAGCATTCAAATTCAATCATTGTAGAAGACAAAATCCACCATTGTTGCTCACTTTGAAGCTTCATAGTAACCATTTCTTACTCATCTTTTCTACTTCTCTTTACTTTGTTGTTGATTACTTGCTTAATTCTTGCATGTTTTGGATTGTTAATTAGCTTAATCCTTAGTTTAAACTTGTTCATGAATTGCTTGAAATCTTTAATTGCTTTAACCCCCATGGATTGAGTAGTCTAAATTCTAGAGTTTGGGCAAAACCCTCAATGTAGTCACTAATTACTTGTTGCATGTGCTAATTTGGTTGTTGTGGGATGTTAATTAGTTGAGCTTAAGTGGTTTAATTGCTTAGTTCTTGTATATGGCCATTGCTAGAACTATTTATCCAAGCTTTCTCAACGAAGGATCGAGAGATGAACTTGAGTTAGCTCCCTTATGCTTGATTGACCCGAAATGCCATGAGAATAGGGATTACCGGTCAAGGGAATGTTTATGTCATCGTGATTATGCTTTAACACTTGTTTTATGCTATGTAACCACGAGAGTAGGTTGTATTCATGATTCAAGTAATCCCTCTAGCTTGAGAGAGTAGTTGGGTGCTTTAGATGACTTCCCCTAATTTATCCCATTAATTTACCTTGATTGTTGCATGCTAATTGTGATTTGTGATGAAATTGAGTGGTATAACCCGAGCCCTAGATTCCTCTTAATATTGTTAATCTCCTCTTAGCTTTAGTTGAATTGAATTAGAAAAAGTTACTCAAAACCAACCCAATTTAGAATTCATTTAGCTTATTTAAACGGTAGTATTCGGTGGTTGATTCAACGCCTCTCTTGGGTTCGACCCTTTTCTTACCCTTACTATTGTTAGTGAGACCAAGATAGGAGTTATTATCTTTGGTAGGCTCGACGACGGCCTATCACCTACTCCAACTTGGCTTCCGCAACGCAATTTCTGACCCTTCTCTCTTCACTCTCTTTGTCAACAACATCATTGTATATCTCTTAGTGTATGCTGATGATATAATCATCACTTGCAATGTCCCTGAGTTTTTGGAGTCTTTCATCACTACATTATCATCTCGGTTCTCCCTAAAAGACATAGGCACCTTATCATACTTCCTAGGTGTTAAAGTCACGCCCACCCATAATGGCTTATTTTTAAGTCAAACCTGTTACATCAACGACATACTATCCAAAGCCAATATGGAACATGCCAAACCTACTCCTACCCCTCTTGCTATCCAACCCCAATTACCCAATATCGTGCTCTAATAGGCAGCCTACAATACCTAAGTCTAACTCGGCCTGACGTTGCGTTCTCAGTTAACAAGCTTGCCCAATACATGCAACGTCCAACTGATGCTCACATGCAGTCATTACATCGGCTCCTCCGTTATCTTAATGGTACTTCCACCATGGGACTCACCATTCACAAAGACACTCCCTTGTCACTTCATGCGTATTCTGATGCCGACTGGGCTAGGGATACAGATGATTTTATATCAACCACTGCATACATAGTTTATCTTGGTAAAAATCCTATCTCCTAGTCCTCTAAGAAGCAGAAAACAAGAGCAAAATCCTCTACGGAGGCTGAATACAGGGCATTAGCCGCTCCCTCCGAACTTCTTTGGGTCCAAAACTTGCTGCATGAGCTTCGCCACCCCCTGTCCTCTACCCCAGTCATATATTGTGATAATGTCGGAGCTACTTACGTAAGTGCAAACCCAGTATTTCATTCCCGCATGAAGCACCTGGCGTTAGACTATCACTTTGTTCGAGAAAATGTTCAACCCGGAAAGCTACGTGTGTCTTACATATCCACGAATGATCAATTGGCAGATGCTGTCACGAAGCCCCTGCAGTCTACTTTCACTACATTAATCGGCAAAATCGGGGTTTCATCTCTCTAGCCCGTTTTGAGGGGGCGTGTTAAGGAATGAAGTCTATCCACGCATGCTGCCCATTCTCATCAACTCAACAACATTCCCATAATATTAGGACCTTACTCATTCAATGTTGTTTTACCTTCTTATCTTTATAGGTTTTTATTGAAAGGAATGGTGTCCTTCCAACAAGTGTATTATTCCGGTAGAGGGTTCAGAATTATTAGAAAGTTAATTCTTCAATAAGGTCAAGTGATCGGAATGCCTAGGTGGAGGCCGCTTCCGATCAGTAATATTAATGTACAATTAATATTACAGCTTAATCTTGACTTAACCCTTCGGGTTGAACCCAATCGAACCATCGATCCGAGACAACGAGTCAATCCGAAGGATTTGATGAGTCGTCAAAGTTTTACAAACAAAGACGTCGAATATCCAGCTTAGAGCGTCGAGACCAAGCGTCGCAAGTCGAGTTAGGCCGTAGCCTCGCATTGGCCTAGCCATGCGAGGGCTAGGCTATCTCGAGCTAGCATGTGCATCGCAATGCTAGCCGCAAGCCTAGCATGCTAGCTAGCCACCGCAAGCATCGCAGCCTTGCGTGTGTGCTAGCATGCCATGCGCCCAGCCATCGCAAGGTTAGGCCTTGCTAGCATGCTAGGCGCTTGCGATGCTAGCATAGCATCGCCAGCACCATACACCAGCCAGCAGCGTGCTGGGTTGTGTGTGTGCTTCACATAGCAGCGCCCAGCATTGACGCACCAAGCAGCTCGCAATGCCTCGCCTAGCACCAGCGCCCAGCATGCGTAGCTCGCTAGCAGCACGCATAAACTGGCTTGCTGCATATGCTTGCGGTTGGCTGTGCGTGTGGGCTGGTTGGCTGGCAGGCTGCCCAGCCTTGGTGCTAGGCGCCAGCTGGCAGCCTTGCCAGCCAGCCACTTGGACACTTGTAATTTATTGATGGAATTGCAATTTTATTTTTATTTTAATTAAAATAAAATGGGGAAATTGCAAATCTCCCACATTGATTGAGAGAGGGAATTCAAGGTTTATTTCCCTATAATTACCAAGGTTTTGGGATTTGGGAAGAACACTTGAGTGGAACTAAAAAGGCATCTCCTTAGAAAAGTGAGAAAACCTTAAGTTCGTAAAACTCTAGCTTTTTATTGGTCGGGTCTTGACTAACCTTCGTAACTTGGATCGTTCGGGTCGGGTTCGTGAGTACGAGTCGTCAGGGACCTTCGCATTTGCGGGGTTCGAGTTTTGAAGTAAGAGCTCGGGATTCGAGCGAAGCACGCGCCAAGGGTAAGAATATCTTTTCCTTCTCTCTATTAATTGTTGTTTTATTTGTAATTACATGCTTAGTCGTTTTAATTAGTATGCGGGTCTTGGACGGGTTTCTCTTCCGCGTAGAGTCGGACTCTTCGAAACCCAACATTTATATTTTGTACTTATCATATATACTTATGTACTACTATATATATTCTGCTGTACATCTTTATGTAAATCAATCAAGAAACAATAACAACGATATTCCTTTATATACACAAAGTATTCAAATACAACAGATTAATCAAATATGCACATAATTTTATATCAGCATATAAAAAGTTGATCATATAATATACTAGTATTGCTTTTTATACTAACCATAACCCCTCAACAACACCACCACCACAATTTGCATCTAAACTGCAGCAGCATCAAGCTCAGAAACCTGCCTGGAGAAAACAAAACTGCATGTTCAGGCAGAGTGATTGCAAGCAGAGACTTGTGAATTAATCCATTCCAACTCATGTTACGTGGAGCATTAGTAGGATCACACTCTTGTACTAGAGTGTCAAAAGAAGGTGATTTATCAAGGCCTATTTTTTTCTGGCTTGTGATTTTGTAAACTTCAAAAAAAAAATAAAAAAAAATAAAAAAATTGAACACCCATTACTGAAATTTGATCTGTTTCTGCAGTTCTTGATGAATGAGTACTCTTCTTAAACCATTCAAGTCTCTTAAAACTTGATGTCCTCGAAGACAAACAGTCATTGCAGACTACGGTGAACAAATTTTGCCTTGAAGTTTCAATATGGATAGTCATTTTAGAAATGAAATTTAAGTAATATATCAGAGTTTTTTTTTTTTTTTTTTTTTTTTTTTTTTGAGGAAATATCAGAGCTTACTCTTCAATAAATTTCTACATTCGGAATCGAAAATTGAAATTTGAGGTCTTCAATAAATTTCTAGCAAAAAACAGTGGTAGCTTGGAATTAAGTCCTTATAATTTACAGGGGTTCTACAATTGATTATGTTTAAAAAGAAAAGATCGAGACAAACCTTTCTTCCGGCAACCCTCGACCACCTAAGCAGCCTCGACTCGGCGGCCTTCCACCTCTATATCCTCCACCTCGACCGCGACCTTATTAAGGCAAAATCGCAAACCCCTTAATACTTAATTCGCAAAAACGATTAATACTTAAATGCTATACCAAAATCCATAAAATGAAAGCCCTTTTCCAAATACTATATCAAAATCCCTAAATTGAAAACCATAAGTTGAATATACTTTCGAAATCCCTAAATTGAATACCCTCTCAAAACCCCAAAATTAAAAACACTGATTTCGTACAGTAACATTACCTGACATTAGCAAAGTTTGAGTTACCACTCATAATTTGGTAGCTTCACCGGGTTTATGAGCAGTGTTACCACCCACAATTTGTTTCGAAATTGAGAGCGTTTCCGGGAGCGTTTTGGAGGAGAGAGAAACTAAATATTTACAGCCTGCCCATTTGGTAACTTTTAATGATTTACTGTCCTAATATATGTCAAATTACGATTATACCCCTAGGTATTGGACATGAGAGTCCATATCTGGTAGTGGTCCATCATGCCTCATACTATAATGGTAATATGCTAATGAAAATTTAAAAAATAATAATAGTAGTAGAATAAAAATTTCAAATGCAACCCTTGAGTTATATAATGTCATATCATACCATTTAACTACACTTTGTAGTTCTATGTCAACCCCACCCCTCCCTTTCAATGTTGATTTTTGTTCAATTAACTATTATTGGCTTCTTATACAAATCTTAATTGTTATGATGTTTTGAAATTTCACTTTTTTCTTTAATAACTACTCCTTGCATGATTCAATCCCTTAAAATACATTGAAACTCGATGGTTCTATTGCTGTCAAATTCAAGGAAAATTTTATTTCTTTCATCCATTTAATAATGTTTGATTTTATCTATTACGAAAGATATTGTTTTAAAAAAATAAAAACTTACTTTTAATCTCTTGTTTTATATCATCATATAATGTTAACAATGCTTCGCTTTTATTTGTAGGTTAAGATTGAATTATATGTCTAATAGATTGCTTTTTATGTAAAAAAAAAAAAAAAAAAATCAGGTAAAGTTGAAAAAATATATAAATAACACATAAAAGGTAAAAGTGTTTTGGAGAATTTTGAGGGTATGTTTTACTCCCTCCATTTCGTATTAATCGCAAGAGAAGGTATTCGGTGTGGACTGCCGTACGAAAATTTGCGTGCGGCAGACTTGGCTGATATATTTCACTTGTTGGCTGATATGTTTCATTTGTTGGCTGATATGGTTTTGTGTTGGCTAATATTTTCCTTTTGTTGGTTGATATGTTTTATTTTTTTGATTTAATTTTATTTTTTTATTATATTTAATTGTTAGCTTATATGTTTCATTTTGTTGGCTAATATGTTTATTTAGTTGGTTTACCTGTTACTTTTGTTTGCTGATTACATCCTTTTATTGGCTAATATGCTTCATTTGTTGGCTGATATGTTCCTTCTGTTGGCTGATAAGTACCTCTTGTTGGCTGATATATTCCTCTCGTTGGCTGATATATATCTTTTGTTGGCTGATATATTCCTTTTGTTGGTTGATACTTTTTTATTAATGTCTGATATGTCCCTAATGTTGACTAATATCAGACATCAATTAGCTGATATGTTTATTTTAATTGCGTCATTAGTTTTATTTTACTCCATTTTTCTCCTTACCACTCATGCAACTCCCCTGTTCCCCCAATTCACCTACACCAACTGTTTCGGGGTTTTTTGATGTCCTGCGGGAGAGTTACAATTTCGAGACTGGAACCGGACGCCTGTACCTGCAAAACAAACGGATGCTCCGGATGATTGGAGATCCGCCTCCAACGGTCAAGTTAGTACTTGATTAAAGAGTAATTAATGCGGAAATGTAATTTAGTCTCTCTAGGTGAGAGTGTTAAATGTGCGTGATCCCCCTTAATGAGGATTAATGGGCATATTTATATTCCTTGGGATGCGTGCCAATACTAGGTTTAGGTTAAACCTAGGGCTGACTGGGCTTCCCAAAGATTGGGCCTTGTTGGCTGATTTATCCTTTTGGCATGAATGGACACGTGTCGTGTCGCAATTGGTCCATGGAGGACGAATATATGGTTGACATGTGGCAGGCTCCTATTGGCCCATGTGGCGGACACATGGCGGTACCTGACTGGTCCACTTGTCAGATGGTGATTGGTGGATAAAAATCCCCTAATCATTTGCCCCTCACAGGTGGCACGTGACTGGTCACGTGTGACTTGTGACAGGTGTCGCACCGTAACAGGCGACGGCCTGCTACAGGTGTCACTCGGTGAAAGGCCGAGAGGTTCTCCCGCCCAAATTTTGAATTTGGGAGTGACCCTTCGCCTTCTCATTTTCACCTATATAAGGGTGTGTTGACTTCAGTCATTTTCACACTTGAGAACTTTTGAAGAGAGCATTCGGACCCCTGAACTTGCTCTGACATTCCGGACTCTTTCTGCCTACCGCCTGCTCTGACAAGCCGGCTGCTCAGAATTTTTCAGAACTTCGTCAATTTCACTCGTTCAGGTAACCGTCGGTTCTCTCACTCTTTTAACTTTTCTTTATTTTTTCTTTTAGAAATGGCACCACGGAAGCACACGACACAACTTAGGTTAGTGATTAGCCGGTCACCGGGGACGGCTGAATCTAGGACTAGGAGTGCCGCCTGCCCTTTTCCGAACCAATCTTTGCCCTTTATACAAATTCCGACTGTCTCTGTGTCTATGCAGAACATAATGGCCAGAACAAAAAGAACTGCTAGGATCACAAACTCAGACAGCTCCTCCTACTAGGTGACGATTAGTGAGACATCTGACCAGGCGCCAGATGCTGAAGTAAACCAAGGCGGCTTGACCGCCGACAGCTCTGAGGGAGGGGTCAAGGTGGTCCCTTCCCATTTTACAGTTGACATGTCTAACTTTTCTCCCGCTCCTATCGAAGGAAAGGAGGCGGGCCCCTCTGGGAGAGGAGAGGAGTCGTCCTCTTCGGATTCGTCAGAGGACGAGTCCGAGTCTAGTTCTTCTGGTCATACTTCTCTAGACACAGAAGAGAAAAACAACCGCCTATAAGAGGCGAGGCTTTCTCACGCAGTTGAGAAGGGGGACAATTGGGCGGAGCCGTCCGCCTCTTACAGAGAGCAAAATACCCCTTACTACTGCACTGTCCCAAAAGGCCGGATCAAGGCCATGCAAGAGAAAGTGGGGAGCTTTATTGCGAACCACACAATGGGCCCCGGCTTTTTAGTTTTTGTGTCGGATCCAGAAGACACAGTCGTCTGGCCGGCTGGTACTAGTTATGATAGCGCTTGATTTGGCTGCTACGAGGCGGCCATCAGGGCTGGTCTGCGCTTCCCATTACATCCGGCTATTCAGCGGATCTTAGATGGGTATGAGTTGGGGTTATGGCAGTTAGCCCCAAACTCCTGGTTCAACGTTCTCGGCTATGTGGCCGGGTGCGAACTGCACGGGGTGGAGCCAAACTTCGAGGCTTTCGCCCACATGAATTACCTCAGCCGGACCCCTAAGGCAGGCGGTACCGGCTGGTATCAATTGACGAGCCACAGAGGCTACCTCATGACAAGAGGTAAAGAAAATAAGTGGAAGGATTGGCGAAGCACTTTCCTTATCATTGAAAGTTCAAACACAGAGCTGAACAAGCGCTTCAACAGGTGGAACAGGGATCCGCCTCTTCTTGCAGGCGGCCGTAGCATGCCGCCTGTTCCTCCAAAGGCTAAGAGAGAGATCCTGGACAAAGGACTCTTCAAAGTAGAGTCGAGGGTCGACTCTACTACAGGGGTGCGAGAGCAAGTACCCCTGCACTGCGTCCCGAGCTTCAAATGGCTCCATGACGAGTACTTTTTGGCCGCATGTGGCCTCAGCAGTCGGTGTTCAAGAGGTAGTCGGCCTGTCGAATACTCTCTTTTGCCATGCATTACTTGTTATAACTTTTTATTAACTTTGGTTTTTTTCCTTGCAGTGGACGCCATGAGCAAGATCACCGCTTCCAAGACTGCGGCGGCTATGTTGCGAGCCTCTATCTTGGAACAATCTTCAACCGACTCTCCCAACAAGGAGGCGCCTTTGGTAAGTTCCAAGCCTTTCACACACACTCCTTTTTGAAGTTGGGTTTACGCAGAGACTGACCGCGTGTTTTGTTGTTTTTTTTTTTTAGACAGGCACTCCTAGAACTTCTTCTTCCCAACAGCCGGACTCCAAGACCCGGAGGACGACTGTTGCGAGCTCTTCTGGCACGGCCAGGAAAAACGCGGCGACTGAGAAACAGTCGGCCACCCCCTCTCAAACTCCAATCAGGCCGCCTAGGAGTATGGACCTGTCCTTGCGAATTCAGACTTGCTTCCCTTTTACTAGGTCTAACATGCTTGTTTATGCTTGATGCAGCCGGCCCTCAGGAATCGGACCTGATCGAGGTGGCCAAGTCTATGATCAAAGCCGTCCCTCCGGCTAAGAGAGAGGCGGTCAGGGGTGTCGGCACCCTTGACCTAGACGGAATCGCAGGGGTCCTGGCTGAGGTATACTTAGCATACTCTTGTCGTTTAAACTCCAGGACGCCTGTTTTTTGTTTAAAAACTGACGCCTGTTTCCTTTTGATCAGGCTCTGCTCCGAGTGAACGGTCTTCGCAAGCCGCTTGATAGGAAGAACAAAGAGGTAAAGGCTGCTAAAGCTATGGCCGCCTCTGACTGTGATAAGGCAATGTTTCAAATTGCCCAAAATGAGATTTTGACAACTGATATTCTTTATTATCAGACGTAGGCTACCTCTGCTATCCGGACTCAGTTGGAGGCGGCCCAGAAGAGAAATAATGAGCTGGAGGCGACCATCAACAATCTCAAGGCCGAGCTGAGACCTCTTCGCCAAAAAATGACCACATACGACGCCTTGGAGAAATCCTTGGAGCGCGTTAAAGAGCGCTTGGCGACTCAGCAGAAGAGTCTCACTGCGGAGCTCTCGGCAAAGGCCGAGCAGGAAAAGAAAGACTTGGTCCGAGAGATGATGGAAGACTCGGCTCAAATTCAGCGCCTGACCTGGGGCCGCCTCTTCCCCAATGCCGACTTTGCCTCATGGGAAAAAACGTACCGCCAGTGTTCCGACAGATACAATCAAGAGATCCTGGCGGCTGCTGAGGACGAGGCAATGGAGGATGAGGATCCGATAGTGGCCATAGTGCCGATTGGGGTGGATGCGTCGAAAAAAGATGCAGCTGAGGCCGAGTCAAGCAAGAAGAATGCTGACCAGGCGGCAGCTGCTATTATTGAAGATCTGCCCCCATCTTAAGCTTTATGTCTTCTTCGGCCTGCGTGCCGTTTGCTTTCTTTTACCCGGCCACGGGGCCGGGGCTCTGAATATTTTGTCGGCCATGTCGGCTGTTAATATAACTTAGGCGACCATTATTTTATGTCGCCTTTTTTTGCCAAAA